CTAATAAAGTTCTTACTTTTCTGTCCTTAATTTTGACAATGAAACATTCCTCTGTTTCTCGGCAAACTCCGCCAAACATCCATTGTGCAGGAAGAACTCTCCCTAAATGATTTGTTCTTTTAGAAAAAAGACTCTGGTCTACTTCAACCACTTTCCCAGGCCCTCCAATTTTCTTAGTTGACCTGCATAACATGTCATGGGCACAAACCTCTCTTAGACATTTGTTCCATGTTACCATAGCTCCATAGGATAGTTTCAGCTGCTCTTTGCCCCACTTCATCGTTGTTAAGTTATGGGACCACCCATAAATCAATTTTAAAGCTGTTAAAAACGAAATCCTGGAGCCCTCCAACCATGTTCCTTTCCTTATTGAAAGTTTTGTGTCACAAGTCTTACGGTAGCACCTCCATTTGGTGTTCCTGGTTAACTTCATTGGATGACCTCGTTCACAAAATTTCACGTCTGCAAGTATCCCAACATTTTGAAAATATTGAATTGCCTGTTCTTCTGAAGACGGCAAATCACATATTCTAAAAAGATTCATAATATGACGGGAAAAAAAAGGAAAAATAAACACAAAGGGGCCACAAACTAAAAAAAAATGAAAAATAAACACAAACGGGTCAAAAACTAAAAATGATGAAAAATAAACACAAACAGAGTAAAAGTAAAGAATTTAATAAGTGAACGTAATAAGGGAATAACTGAAAGGTTTGGTTGAATAAGAAGGAGGTTATATGACGGGACGTTAGATAAGATAGATAAGAAGTGAGGTTTCGAAGCGGCCTGCTAATCAAAAAGTACCACGCTTTCTTTCAACAACGGGTATTTATTAGAATCAAATTTTTAAATACCCAAAGATTTTTACAGCAATTAAGAAAACATAAAATCAAAGACAAAAAACATAAAAGAGAAAAAAATCACTACATATGATTACTTATGACATAAAAATGTAATATTTATAAAAATTCACGGAAAGAAAACGCTTCTTTAATGTTAGATTGAATGCTTTTTCATTCTTTCAAATACTTCTATTATTTTATATTATGCTCTGCATTTATTTGAAAAATATTATTGTGGTACTTTGAAAAAAATCATACATCACCTTGTTAAATTACATTTTATTTGCTTCAGAATAAATGGAATATCAAATCAACCTTTCTCTCACCTTTAAAATTTATTGAAATTAATATGTTATTTGGCAATACAGTATTGATTTAATGTAGAAAAATAAATAATAATCTTAAAATGTCCAGAAACAAAGGCCAGAGGAGAAAAAAAATCAGTCTATTGGCTACATCAGAGCTGGATTCCTCCCCACCATTTTCCCTCTGAGTGAGCTAACCTGGTAGTTTTATTGACCTTGGTTTACTGTTAACCAGATTGCATAAGTACCTACAGGCAGATCTAAGTGGGGGGGGGGGTTGCTTTCCAGCTGAAGCCCCTCCACCTCCCCAAAATGGTAAAATATAACCATTTTTTATGGAAAAATATATTAAAAATTATCTCTTAAAGTATTATTGTTCCTGTAATTACTTTTAAAAGGACTTAAGGAATCACTTAAACACCATTTCATATGGATAGTTAAGTTTCTTTCTTTTTTTACAAAGTAATTATCATAATTTTTATGAAAAAAAAACCTTTCTGGCTGAAGTCCCCCCAAAATTAAATCCTGGATCCATTAGTGCAAGTACCTGCATATATATATAGTAGGCAAGAACTTAGCCAGCTAAACACAAAACTGCCTCAATATGGAAGAGGAAGCAAGTTTTTAAATTTAATTTGAATGAATGAAAACGTCTTTATTACACTTCAAAAAAATACAAAGTAAAATAAATATAGGCAAGTAAGAACACATAGACAATGGAAAAATCTGTTGGTCGAAGTCTGTGTGTAATTAATAATAAATATTCATTACATTTATAACTAAAATAAATGAGTAATAATATATCAGTAGTATTATTATGTATTTATACATCCATTTTAGCAATTTCTAACTTCACTGTTCCATTTGTGTTTTCAAAAAACAAACATTAATACCTAATAAAACCAATAAATAAAAAATTAAATTTCAACAATAATAATAACAATTAGATATGATACAACAATAAAACAAACGTTACAATAAATAAACACGATATTGTACCAATAGTTTACTTACTGACCAATTGAGATATTCGTAATATGGATTGCTGTATATAATTGGCTTAAGGGTTTCCAGTTGGAACCCTTTAGTAAGCCAAATAATTCTTCCGGAGAAAAGGTCTTCCGCCTAAAACATTTCTCTCTTATCTCACTGTACTTATGAAAAGTCCCCAGAAAGTGAATGATATTCTCTTTTTCTTCAGAGTTACATACTGGACAGTTTATCTTCAACCATCCATGGTTTCATGCTCAAATCCAGCAATTCAGTCCTACATCGCAAAATTGACCTTATAGCCACAATGTCAAAACTACCATTAAGATAGGATATAACAGTGCCCACTGAGCATAGTCCTCCTTAAATAGAAAAACTCGAATAGAGACATCTTTGAAGGTTATTTTGTTTTTTTAAGTCCTTTACCCTAAGTCTAACAACAGTCATTTTTCCGGGCTTAATGAATTTAATTTATATTTTCATAATAATTTTGTTCATAGATTAATAATGAAAGACATTGAAATAATTACAATTACTTAATCACTTAGGTATGTAAAACAAATAAATAAAAGGAGATGAGAGTATTAAAAACTAATGCCTTTAAATTCAATGGCCTCTACAGAGCTCTCTCATTAAATGGAGCATGAGTTTTCTCATTAAATTTGGGTCAAGAAAGGATATGAGCTGCAAATAAAAAGCAAGGGGTTTTATATTACAGATTTTATATTATTCTAGAGCATCAATTACTTGTATCAACAAACTTATAAAAATATTGCTTCATATTTATTTTACATTTTATAATTAAATATTTACATTGTACTTTATTATCATCTAATTTATTTTCTTTACATCACTATCATACATAATCGTGTGATGATCAGTCTTCAATAAGATGTGGTTCTATCTGTAAAAGAAAAAAATAATCAATAATTCAGAATAATTATAACAGTGGATAAAGTAAAAAAATTTTCGATAGCAAATACACATTATATTGCAGGACAGAATTTCTATCTTCCATTGATCTTATTATCGATTATTTGTAATAAGATCTAGATAATTTGAGTAAGTCGACAGCTTCAATCAATGAGAATCGAGGAAATCGCCCAGTCTTGATTTGAAATTTCTATAAATCTTTCTAAGCAATTAGTATATTTTGCTCATAAGATGAAAAACAGAAAATAATTTCTGTTCGAAGCAGAGCGGTGAGGTTTAAAGTTTAACTGTTAAAAATATACTTCAAAAACTTTACATTAACCCAACTTTGCCAGAAAATAATTTCTGTTCAAAGCAGAGCGGTAAGTGAAAGTTGTTTGAAGCACACACCAGGTTTTAGAATTATTGGGTTATCCGAAAAATAATGTAAGATTTTGTTTTAAAAAGAAAGATTTATAAATGTTTCATATAATAAACATTGTTTCCACTACTATCAATACATTTTTTTTCAAGTTTATTTATTATCAGCCATTTTACACCAAATTTCAAAATTTTGTCAACTTAATGACTACACATCTAATTACGACGTTTCGGCTCGTTGAGCCATTTTCAAGTCTAAAAAAACTTTTACAATTTACAATCATATTTAAAATACTACATACTTCAACATATAGAGATTCTTCTTATATACCTAAATACCAATCATGAACCTGTCCTTTCCACTTATGCGAATTGCATGCATCTACTCATAATAAAAAATTTATTTTTGTCATGTCCACCTTTAATTATTTTATAACATTATTATTACTCATTTATTTATTATTAAATGATTCAAATAAGTTAAAATTACCTTATCATGTGTCACCGACATGTCATCAGTCTCATTTCAATTCGGTGACTGGTTATTCTTAAATAAATAAATAGATTCTTAAATGTTTAAAATAAATAGTCTTCCCCTACTCCTTTAAGACATGTGGCCAGGCGTTGTTATGCAACAAAATGAGTCCCTTCCAATTGAAAAAAGATGCCTTTATTATTGCCATTTTCTGATGCATTGCATAAATTTGGTTAAAATATGACTCAGCATTGATGGTTTCTCCAGAATTTAAGGAACCTTAGTGTATCAAACCAAATAAAGCCTAGCAAACAGTAATCATCCCCTTTTTTCGATGAGTTAAGGGCTTTGGAAAATGTTCTGCTGCTACTTCTTTGTCAAGGCACTGTTCAGAACGTCTACTGTTATCGTAAAATATCTACTTTTCATCACAACTAACAATTCTGGACAGAAAAGTGTCGTTTTGGTGTCGGCAAAGAAGTGAGTCACAAACTTCAAAACGATGGTTTGTTTGGCAGTCGTATAATGTGTGTGGAATCCAACTTCCAAGCTTATTTACCTTGCCAATCGCCTTGAGGTGGTCATCGACGGTCGATTTGCTAAGGTTAAGTTGCTCTGCAAGTTCTAGAACAGTTGTTCTGAAGGTTTTTTCCACCAAAGTCCCCAGAACATCGTCATCAAGAGAAGAAGTGCTTCCACAGCCTTCTTTGTCTTCAAGGTTGAAGTCTCCCTTCCGAAATTTTTTGTACCACCGTTGAACAGTGCACTCATCCTAATCCTCCTCTCACCCCACCGTCTTGATTGATGTTTTTGGCTGTCTGGGCCCCATTCCAAACGCGTATGAAGTTGTAAAACAAATTTATACAAAAATCACGCATTGACATCTTAGCAAAGACTGAATTATTTCCAAGCAGCAAAATGCTACTGAGGTGAAATAACATTATCATTTGGAATAGGATTAATATGTGTTGACATTCATACAAATGAATAATCCAGTAAACATAAACAGTTTGTCATATTGAGGGGTATTTGAAAGAAAACTTAAAAACCTATATTATTTCCCGGACAACCCAATATTATATCGAGATTGTATAGATGGAATCTCTTGAAGCATGTTTATCTGCAACTGCATACTATTTTCCTAACATGGGACCGAGTTGAGATCACCTGACAATAGACTAATCAACCTGTAATTAGCAAACTCTGCCTAGCTTTCTTTCTTGTGGAGTGGGATTATAATAGTGGATTCACTATCTTTACATACAATATACAATAATCTATTCAACAAACACAAGTGAAAGTTCATACTCTACCATGAATATTAAAGTAACTATTTACTTAATGAGAGATCAGTTTATTCCACTGGAAAATATCCATGCGGTTTATAGTTGAGCAATTGGACACAGCTATTTTTTCCTATGAATTTTGTTATAGTTTTACATTTTGAAATTGGGTCTTATCACTTCTCTATGAAATTCCCTGTTGCTCGATACCCCAATCATCAAAATCTATTGCTACTGAGAGCCAGCAGAAAATGATAATTTTATATAACTATACTCCTGTAATATATATAGTGTAATTATCACAATTTCAACATAAAACAAACATTTCATTCAAAAGTATAAATTATCTGAGCAAAATTAAGGAAATAATGTGTACCTTAATATCTAAGTCTGGAGAATTCAGATAACTCTCATCCTCTTGCTTGATGTAAAGTGGGTCATCAGTATCCGTCACAGAATCTAGACATACTTCCTGATTCACATAATCTAAATCTGGTTCCTATAATTAAAAAGAATGAAGTTGATATTTATTTATATTAAAAAATAATAGAAAAGAAGATTGGTTTGGGGTGTTCAGTAAAAAAAAAAAAAAAATTATATAAAAATAAATAAATTATAGAATAGAAAATAATTTTATTCCGGGATGAAAGCCCTTTAGAATAACAAAAAAGTGCAATATTAAAATATTATATCTGGCCAAATAAAAACAAACATACAAAGTAAAAATAAAGAGAAATAAGTAAAGAAAATATTAGTTATACATACTATACACAAAATAAAAAATAAAAATCTATATACAAAACTCTTGAAACCATGCCAAGATACTTAAAATTATGTACAATGGTAAAATATAAATATACACTTTTAGAAAAAATAAAGAATACATTACATTCTTCTTAGCAGTAAACTCTGTGTTTCTGTTAAAAAAAAAAAAAGAAAGTCGAATCTGGTGGTAAGTATTTAAGTGATGAGCTATATATAAATACATTATTTCCTATCCTCTTGGAAGTTGTTTACTTTCTCTATTTTTTATTGAATAAAAAACAAATTGAATAAAAAAATTAATACTACACCAACTAACCCTAACAAAAATTGGCTTTCCTCAACTTTTTAATAATGACAGGTGTTTGTCTATGATATGCACTCATATACTTTTTAAATATAATTTAACAAATTGTCTGAGGAAAATTAAGAAATAATGCGCACCTTAATACTTACACCTGAAGAATTCAGATAACTCTCATCTTCTTGCTTGATGTAAAGTGGGTCATTGGTGTCCATTACAGAATCTAGAAGGACTTCGTAATTCATATAATCTGAATCTGGTTCCTATAATTAAGATATGAAATTAATATTTAATCATATAAAAAAGTAATACAGCATTAAGTTTCATAATAATAATTTTAAACCTCTTTTATTAATCGACTGCATCCTGGCAAGAAATTGTTCGTATCATCTTGATACATAGAGTCAGTTAAACCTGGTTCGACCTATAAAAAGGTATCTATCAACAGCTTGAACGGGTGTGCAATAAATTAGCCTTCTTATATCCTACATTAGATGTGTAAATAAAAATTATAGAAGAGAATGGTTGTGGTGATCAGTCAAAAAAAAAATTAGTAAAAATAAATTATTACATTTAATTTTATTTTTGCCGACGTTTCGGCCCAAAGTTCTCTTCAATTATTCACTACAGTCAACCATCAATCCACAATTTAAAAATCATACTTTGTTTCTTTATCTTTATAAAAAGAACGATTTAATATATCCTCTTACATTCAAGGATGTTTTAAGGTCTTTTGGATACTGTTCACTTATACAGATATCACAGAGAATGTAAGTGTTATTTGAAAATCAATACCATGTAAGCTCAATAAAATAAAAATAAAAATTAATGATATTGTTGGTATACAGAATTCAAATGCTTAGGTTCAATAATATTTTCATAGCAAATGATCCATAAATAAATTAAAACATGCACCTTAATTGTGATGGCTGCATTTTTAATAGTTTCATAAATTTGTTCTTTCACACTGTGTACTGTTAAACAGTTACTATTGACAATATATTAGCTGCAATAAAATTGTACTTCATGGTTTATTGCAACAAACTGATAATGCATGTATATGATGCATATAAGAGCCCATGCAAAAATTTGTTAGATAGCATGATCTGACTGGTAGATTCATTTTTTAAACAAAAATATTAAGATTATTCAAATAATTCTTAAAATTTTCTTCAGATACCAATTTTTTTGCACGGGCTCTGGGACTAACACTTTAACTTTTTGGGATTACATTGGAAAAATTGTTAAAGGAAACATATATTTTTCAATGTACTTTCTGATTTCCATCTCATCAAAACCAAGGAGCAAATAAGAGGTTGCTCTCTTTAATCTGCTAATGTTTGAGAGGATGGAATGCTTCATAAAAATAATTTCAGGTAATCCAATAGTGGAAGTATACCACTGGGATAGTATAATGCTTTACCTAATTAATCTTCTCATAAACAAATCTTTATTAGCTAATTCAAAGGTAAGTATAGAAGTCATTAAATAAATATATATTAACCTTAATGGGCACTGGTTGTGAACATTGTGGAATATTTTTAAAAATGGTTGGATGTGCTTCATCTTTCAGGCTAGGACCAGATACATTTGTGAAGTTAATCGTTTCATTGTTCAATAGCTTAATGCTATTTAAAATAGCGAGGAACGGGTCTTCTTTTCTGTGAGCCCGCCGCCACAAAAATTCACATAAATATGAATCCAGGTGTTGCCTCGCAGTTCCTCGATGTTTCTTATTTCTCCACTTAGCTGAGCCCCATAATCGTTCAATGTGTTGAGTATGGACCCCACTTGATGGATCAACAAAGTTATACTGGTGATTCAACTGGAAATTATTATAGTTTGCTTCATTCAGTTGTTGGGTGTTGTATCCTTTCCAACAGTCTGAATAAATGGTGCTTCCCTCTTGTATATTATTTTTAATACACTTTAATAAAGTTCTTGCCTTTCTGTCCTTAATTTTGACAATGAAACACTCCTCTGTTTCTCGGCAAACTCCGCCAAACATCCATTGTGCAGGAAGAACTCTCCCTAAATGATTTGTTCTTTTAGAAAAAAGACTCTGGTCTACTTCAACCACTTTTCCAGGCCCTCCAATTTTCTTAGTTGACCTGTATAACATGTTATGGGCACAAACCTCTCTTAAAAATTTGTTCCACATTATGATACCTTTGTTTGATAGATTCAGTTGCTCTTTGCCCCACTTTATTGTTGTCAAATTATGAGACCAACCATAAATTAATTTTAAAGCGATTGAAAAGGTAATCTTGGACCCCTCTAACCATGTCCCTTTCCTTATTGATACCTTTTTCTTACAACTCTTACGAAAGCATCTCCAATTCGTCTTCCCGTCGAACTTCATTTCATGACCTTCATCACAATATTTCACCTTTGCAATTATTCCTGCATCTTGAAAATATTTAATAGATTCTTCTTCTGAAGACGGCAATTCCCACAATGAAATAACATCCATTTCAATAACGCACAGTCAACAACTTACACTAGATAAAAAGGCAGATTATGTGACGAAACATAAGTTAAGAAGGTGACATAAGATAAGATAAAAAAGAGAAGTTTACCAGAGCCCTAACAGTTCACAAGTACCGAAACTTGCCCCATTCAATACTTATCACGAAAAATCTAAAAAACAGTGTTACCATATCATGAAAATTTTTTAAAATAAATTTGTGTCCTTTATTATATTTAATTAATAAAAAAAAAATTTAACCAGATTTTTATTTCATATATATATTAGGACGTTTACAATATACCTCACAGGCGGATCTACGGGGGAGGGGAGCTTTCAGGCTGAAGCCCTTTCTCCCCCAAAATGGTAAAATATAACTATGTCTTATGAAAAAATATTAAAGAATTGTCTCTATGAGTGTTACTGTTCGTGTAATTACATTTAATAAGACTTCAAGAATCACTTCTTTACCATTTCATACAGTTTCTTTCTTTTTATTTTAAAGTAATTATCGTTATACACTGATAGGCAAAAAATTCCGCCCACTTGATTTTTTCATCTAAAAATATTTCTGCTTTGGATTGGTCTATTGTTTTTAATGAATAAATAGGTAATATTTTTGTTTGTTTTCAATTAAGAATGTTAATATAGAGGACAATAACCCTTAATTCTTAATTAAATGAAATGATTCTAGATTCCAAAACGAACCATTATTATTCTAAAAGAAATTAATTACATCCTCGTTTAGTAGCGCGTGTTTCCTCCTCTTGCCTTCACTACTTCTTGAAGACGCCTCGGCATACTTTCCACCAGTCGGGAAATGTCCCTTTGCTGGAGGATAGCCCATTCCTCCCGAAGAGCCCTTTCAAGGTCCTGCAGTATATCAGAAAGTGTTGCATGCGCTCTTATTCGTCTTCCGAGGTTATCCCATAAATGCTCAATGGGGTTCAAATCTGCAGAACGTGCTGGCCAGGCTAAAACCTCAATATTGTTCTGTTGAATTAAGGTCTGGACTATGCGGGCGTGCATTACAATAGAACGATCGCCGATTTCGTTGAGGATAGGCAACACATAAGGTTCCAAAATCTCATCTACATAGCGATAAGCCGTCAAAGACCCTCCACGAACAACAACCAATTCTGTGCGGCGCTCCATTGAAATTCCAGCCCACACCATTAAGGAACCACGTTGGAAAGGTTGGCTCTGGGAAAAATTACAGGCTGCATATCTTTCGTTTCTTCTTCTTCACACCCTTTCACGCCCGTCTGGAAACCGAAGAGCGAATCTTGACTCATCTGTAAAAAGTACAGCACTCCATTCGTAAAATTCTCAAAGTCAAAAACCGGTCATCCCGTGGTTGCAAAATAAAATATGACAGTCCCTAAAAACTTGTTTATATAACAGACAAAAATTTTTTTAACCATTTTTTTTTAATGTATATTATTAGGTTTCAGCTTTAATGTAATTTTCAAATATTCTAAAGAAAAACAAGTCATACAAAAATTATATAGTATACTTCTCTGTGGTAGTCATTATTTTGTTAATATCATATATTTAGTTATTTTCTTTTTCACTATTTATTAAAATTATTTTGACTTTCATTCAGCTCGGTAAAAATAGTTTTCCCAACCATTTTCTTTGGTAGATGATTTTCAGAGACATTTCTTTTATTCTTCTTAAACAGACTCTCTGATTCATTTTTTAATGTGAAGTAAGTTGGAGTTATGCTATTGTTGCACAGGTAGTCTAATATCCTAATGTGAAGTAAAAGTTTTATTTCTAT